TAATGTCAATACAGTACATTTTTATGCGTTTTTGCATCAGGAAAAGCGTGTACGGCGGAATTATCTCTCTATGCATATGAGAAATTTTCCGGCGTCATGAATCAACTTGAAAACTACGAAAATTACGAAACTGAACGTCTTAAGGCTGAAGATTACGAAGCCCAACAACTGAAAGCATAGGCTCCGGTCATGCATAGACCTAGGGACTTAATTTTAGATTTTTCAGTTTTAATTTTACATAGTTTTACATCCCCTCGATAACTGCTTTGAGGAACACGTGGTCGAGCTGGTCACTCAGTCGTCTCATACAAAAACGTACAAAAATAACCCGTTTCACAAAAAAAGAATCAGTGATTGTGTATCACGATTAATCATGCCTTGTCGACTCGAGCTTATCGTTTGCTTCATTGATTTTGGCTGCCAGATAGGGCGATCCGCCACGATCCGGATGATTTGCGATCATGATACGCTTGTGCGCCTCTTTCACCTTCGATGCCGGTGCACTGGGCGATACGCCGAGGATGAGGGCCGCTTCGCGCCGTGTCATGTTCGGCTCGAAACCACCACGATAGTACTTCGACATGCCACTTGCGATCGGCAGTGTCTTGGCCATCTTCATGAACGCTGCTCGATTGCGGAGCAGCAAGCGGCCAGCGACGCCGACTGCAACCAGGCTAACACCACCAACGATCAGTACCGAGGACATTGCTGCACCGCAATTTCTAATTCATAGAAATCAGTAAGCCTGAAAAATGTAATAATTAGAGTGTGTACGCAACAAAACGAGCAGTTTATCTTCATGGCAGTGACACGTTTCTGATCAGGAAAAAGGCAGTAATCCAATGACTAATGGATCACCAGAGAGCAACCACACGGAGTTCGAATTGTCAAAAGAAATGTTCTGAGCGAGTCCTTCTTTTTTAAGGGGCTCAACGCGATGTAGCAGTGAAAGTGAACGAGACAATGTTGGAAAGTGGAACAGCACAAGCCCAAGTAGCTCCAAGCATGTCGAGAAGAAACTGTCCCGCATTTCGTTCGGCTAAGCTTGTGTGGTACGAACCAATGTAAATCTGACCAGTGACTGGTAATGCACTAAATGTCAAGCAACTGTACCCGCAAAAAACAGAAGATGCGCAACATACAAATTAGGCAGGTAAGGAATGAGGACACAGACCCATTTCTAACACACAAACACAGACACACACACTACATACACACACAAAAACAAACACACACACATACAAAAATACACACACACACACACACATACATACATACACACACAAGCACACATACATACACTGTAGCTTTACTTGCAGACTGTCGGTACCCTAAAAATCATACATGGATGAAGATTCATTCACGCGCCGAACTCTCGATGTGCCCGCTGTATTTGTCGATGGATATCAGATATTTTCTTCCAGAAAATTGACAACCCACACATGGAACATTGTCTTTTTTATGCGCGAAATATGGAGAGTGATGGTACTTAGCCGCAACCGGAGAAAACATGCTGGCAGCAGCTGTGGAGTGAGGTTTACCTGCGGCAGGCCGCAAACTAAAGTTACCTGAGAGGGCGCACGTAAAGATCAAAGACCGAAGAAAAATGCAGAAATATCGGAAGGGGAAAAAAAAACTCAATTTTACAGCCTGGCACGATCTGTCCACGTGGTAACACTGAGAGCTTCATTCTAGAAATGCGGACAATTCTGATGAACATAGTGAAGGAGAAATGATGAAATGTACAAAAAAAAAAATGATGTAAAATGACGTAATAATGTGAAATACATTAATCCACCCAAGTTATACGTGA